CTCGATGAGGTCCACGATCTCCACACTAGACCAGGTGGGCGCCCACCTCTTGCAACCCCAAGAAGGCTCCTGGGAGCTTCCAGCCTGGTCCTAGGAAGAGGCGGAGGGCTGGGTGGCAGCAGGTGGCTGGCTCGTGCCATGCCAGGCACAGGGTCTGTTTGCTGGGTTCTGGCAGGCTTACAACTAGCACAAGCACTGTAGCCAGACCATGCCCCTTTAAGGGCTCCGGGGCTGGGAGGGGGGCAGAAAAGTTTTCCTGGTTTGGCCCAGAGTAGCCACCAGGGAAGCTGGGAAGTGCTAGCCTCCCACTAGTTCGAATTAAGTGGCTACACAGCCCTTAATTCGAACTACTTAATTCGAACTAGGCATTAGTCCTCGTGGAATGAGGTTTACCTAGTTCGAATTAAGCGCTCCGCTAGTTGGAATTACGTTCGAACTAGCGGTTTGTATGTATAGACGTCATGAAAGTTAATTCGAACTAACAGCTGTTAGTTTGAATTAACTTTGTAGTGTAGACATACCCTAAGATCTCACAATCCCAATGTGGAAGGATCACGGTATCTCTCGTAAGCATAGAGTCGGGGAGGTGGGCGCCCCTGAGCACAGGCAATCAGACTCTCAGTGAGACAAGGCAAGCAAAGTAAAGTCTATTACATAGTAGGCAGAGACAAATTTTAGTGCTACCAGTCAACCTCACTCACCTTCTCTCCTTGCCATCCTAGGACTGACAGGATCCCTACAACCACTTACATGGACACTTCATGGGTGCGTTATCACACTGGTGTGAACTGATGTGACTGCCTTACACACCATGGACTAACTTAAAAACAACAAAAAGTCTGGTAGCACTTTATAGACTAACAAAATATGGCGTGTGTCTAGACTACAGGGTTTTTTCGAAAAAACTTCCCCTGTGTCTAGACCGCTGCCGCCTTCTTTTGAAAATAAATCAAAAGAACACGGCAGTTTTTTCGACTGTGGAAAACCTCGTTTTATGAGGAAGAACGCCTTTTTTCCTAAGTGCTCTTTCGAAAAAAGGCACTATGTAACGGAAACTGTGCTTTTTCGAAAGAGAGCATCCAGACTGCCTGGGTCCTCTCTTTCGAAAAATGGGGCTTGCTTTTTCAAAAGTACTGGTTGTCGTCTAGATGCTTGCAGTCTAGACGTTGCCCTCGATGGGATCATGAGCTTTCATGGGGACAGCCCATTTTTTCAGATGACCAGAGTGTTGGATGTCCATTACTAAAATAAATAGGGGAGAAGGGGGAGAGAAGGAAAAAAATTGGAGGGGAGGGGGTTTGAGTTGTGGACTGTAGGTAATGACAAGTGGGATTCTGTTATTTTCTCTTTTGGGTCTGTCTTGAAGTAACCCATGTCTGGGGACTTTTTGGCTCTGTCTACCTGTTTTTTCACTTCACCAGGTGGGCATTTCAGTTTTAGGAACTCTCTCTATAGACCCTGTAGGTGTTTGTCTCTGTCTGTGAGATCAGAGCAAATCCAGTTGTATCTTAGGGCTTGGCTGTATACAATAGATTGAGAGATGTACCTGGGATGGGAGCTGAAGGCATGAAGGTAAGTGTACAAAAAAGGTACAAAAAAGTCCCTAGACACGAGCTACTTCAGAACAGACCCAAAAGAGAGAATAACAGAATCCCACTTGTCATTATCTACAGTCCACAACTCAAACCCGTTCAATGCATTATCCACATTCTACAACCTATCTTGGAAAATGGTCCCTCACTCTCAGAGGCTTGGAGGAAAGGCCAATTCTCGCTTATAGACAACCCCCCAACCCAAAACAAATTCTCTCCGCTAACCATGCTGCACAGCCGCATCATAAGCATCCAGGAACCCAGCCCTGCAATCAGCCCCTGTGACTACCCTGCCCACTTCTCTATACAAGCGAATTCAACACTGGAGCCAACCACATCAGCCCCCAAATCAGAGGTTCATTGAGCCGCACATCCAGGAATGTGATCAATGCCATTAAATACCAGCAATGCCCCACTGCAATAGATATTGGACAAACTGGATAGTCCCTACCGGAAAGAATGAATGGACACAAATCAGATATCTGTAAAGAGAACATACAAAAACCTGCTGGGGAACACTTGAATCTACCTGGGCATTCATTAACAGATCTTCAAGTGGCTGTTTTGATACCGACTAATTCCACAAGCCAAATACACAGGGAAGGACTGGAACTACAATTCATTCACAAGGTTCAGACTCATGCTAATGGATTAATAAAGATACCGATCACTGGGACATTATGAATCTACCAAACAGCGAAGGTGCCAATGGTTCTTTGTCTGTGTAGAATCTGGTATTACTACTCTTCCTCTCTAATTGCCTGCTAATGGTGCTTATCTGCCTTTTTTGACTATCCAGTCTTTAGGTGCTTACAGAGTATTTGATTTTCCACTTACATTCTAGCTCAGCTTTCCCCTTGATATTTTTATACCCACTACCTCTTCTTGCTTCCTCCCTCCCATTTTTTTTCTCCCACCCCCCTCTCCCTTCTCCTCTATTTATTTTAGTTCTGGACATGCAACACTCTGGTCATCTGAAGAAGTGGGCAGTTCCCACGAGAGCTCATGATCCCATCTACATGTTTTGTTAGGCTTTAAAGTGCTACTAGACTATTTGTTGGGTTTTAAGTTTATCCTGTTACAGACTAACTCGGCTACCCTCTGAAAATCCCGGGACTGACTGTTCATCTGTCTATATGTCTGTCTGTCTGTCCATCTATCCCTATACACTCTATCTATCTATCTATCTATCTATCTATCTATCTATCTATCTATCTATCTATCTCCCCACACACATCAATATATCTGTCTGTCTTTTGCTAACTTTTTTCCCCTTTGAATAGAGGGGATTTTCATCTGATGCTTTCTGTTTCCACAAGAAAACTTTTGATTCTCTATTGCCAAACCACTCAAACCTAGACATTTGTGGGTACTTCTTAACCCCCCCCCCCCCAATATTTTCCCGTTTCAATGAAGACAAAATCAAACTGGCTCAACTTCTTTCAGTGCATGTTTCGGGGAAGTCGTAACGAGTTCCGCTTGCCTTTCAGATTGATCATCTAATCCCCACCCTGCACATCCGGACGCCAGCGTACTACAGCAAACTTACTGGGCGGCTCTGTGGATAATTTCCTGCAACGTTTCATGAGTTTGATCTTTGGGTGCTGGCGATTACTGGCCACAGTTTCTGTACCCAAACGTCTCTCACCGATCGCTCTCACGTCCCCTTCCCTTTGTTATCC